CCCCCCCCCCCCCCCCCCCCCCCCCACACACACACACACACACACTTTTATAACATAGATATTTTGTCTTATTCTTCATCCATATTAATAACCTAGGTCCATTTGCTCTTCATGTGCTTACCAATTAGCATGAGTTCATTTCTCCTGGTGTTCATGTTTTCTTGATTACTTATAATTCTAAATATGCTCAGATAAGTGCTTGGCTGTTGACCTCTAAAAGGTCACAGGAATATCAATTATTATCTCTTCACTGTTGCAGCTGTTAGTGGGTGGTATATATCAGGCAATAATTGAAAATGTGTTTTTAAAGTTTCCTTGGCATTGTAAAGTGATGAAAGATAAATAAAAAAGTATCACATTGAGTCACATTTTTTAGCATATTGGGCAGCATAGATGTTGTTGCAGTCAAGCAGCAACAATTTGCATGAGTAACAGGAGTTGGATATGGAAGAAGGGGATATGTCTGATGCATCTTTTTTCCATTTCCATCATCTGGGTAAAAAGGTATGTGTGTGTTGCTTACCTGGCAAACAAATGAAAGCAAGTTGATCCATCCAGGAGTCGAGTTGTGAAAAAAAACTCACCTTACTCACCTTTCAAATATTCATATAGAGCAGACATCCCCAAACTCGGTCCTCAAGGCCCCCTGTCCTGCAGGTTTTACAGGTTTCCTTGCTCCAGTACAGCTGATTTTAATTGAAAGCTGATTAACAGGCTTTTGGTCTACTGCAATCATTATAACCAGCTGTGCTGAAGCAGAGAAACCTCTAAAACCTGCAGGACAGGACCAAGTTTGGGGATGCCTGATATAGAGTATTTATTTTATAAAATAGACAGTTTATAAGAAAATCAATATTGCTTCTATTGGCAAATTTAAAGTAAGCTAGGCTACATGCTGGCAATAAATGAGTTAAAACTATTCTAACAGGTCCGTTGAACTAAGCTATTTACTATTGATCGGATGTACGGGAATTCTACAAGTCACACGAGGGACTTTGCAGTCAGTTGACAACATTTTATTAATTTATGACCATTGGCCAGACATTAACATCGCACTTGGCAGCAAGATAATAATCTTAACACCTTTCATAAATTGCTTAATTAAAATGCATTTTTCAAACCTTCGATTCTCTCCTCCGGGTTTCCTCCACTGCACTCAGCCACAGCTCCACTTGTCTCGCCAGCATCTTCTAGATTCTGGCTGTCAACTAGCAAACAGCAGCAGCCTGAAGATTAATTTTATTTTTGATTCACAGCCAAAATGCAGAATTTGAATGTTCAGCAATGTGTGTACACTAAACTACTTCTGTGTCATGATGTCTGTGTTTGCGTCATGACAACTTTAAAGACAGAAAAGTGTTTGCGCTTCAAACTGGTTTACCTACTTTTTCATGCTATCACTATGTCAGGAGATAAGGACTGCTACATAGTTGGTGACACAATTTCCACCGAAACTGACAGCAAAGGTAATGCTACGTTCACACCGGACGCAGCAAAAGCAGCAAAATCGCGTCTGCTGCTTCCTTTTTGCTGCTTGTACCAGTTAGTTCTGGCGCTCGGCTGAAGCAGCTTTGCTGTTCTGGCTGCGTGGTGCAAAA